CGGGCTGCCAGTAGTGGAGCGCGTGCACTTAACCACTAAGCCACAGGGCCGGCCCTCAGCTATTATTTCTTTGAACAAGTTCTCTGCTCCTTTTCCCCTCTCTTCTCCTTCTGGAATACCTATAATCCTTATGTTGGATTTCCTAATTTAGTTGGATATTTCTCGGAGAGTTTCTTCATTTCTTTTTAGTCTTAGTTCTTTTTCCTCCTCCATCTGGAGCATTTCTGCATTGCTGTCCTCAATATTGCTAATTCTTTCCTCCATATTTTCAGCCCTGATGCTTAAGGCTTCCAGATTTGTCTTTATCTCTTCTATTGTGTTTTTCATCTCTAAGATTTCTGATTGGTTTTGCTTCATAATTTCAATCTCTTTTGTGAAGAAACTCCTGATTTCATTGAATTGTCTATCTCTGTTTTCTTGTATTTCATTCAGCTTTTTTATGATGGCTATTTTGAATTCCCTGTCATTAAGGTTATACATTTCTGTGCTTTCCAGCTTGACCTCTGGCTGCATGTCATTTTCCTTTTGGTCTGGAGATTTAATATATTTTTGCATAGCGCGAGTCAGTGTTGGCTTACTTTTCCTCATAGTGAAAATATATGGTTGCAGTTCTCTCTTGCCGCCCCTGGATGGGAGTCAAGGGCTGTGTATTTTCGCCCATCTCAATCTGCAGGCACTCTAGGTGGCCCCTGGCTGAGCTGAGGTGTGGCTGAGCTGAAGCTCTGCTGATCTGAAGCGTGACTGAGCAGAGGCTGCTGGGGGTGAAGCATGGGAACAGCTGGAGCTGGAGCATGGCAACAGCTGGGACTGGAGCACAGCTAGGCCAAAGCAGCTGGAGCTCTGGTGCAGGTGGGTTGAAGTAGCTGCACCTGAAGTGCAGCTGGGCTGAAGAAGCAGGAGCTGGGGCACCTCTGAGCCAAAGAAGCTGGAAGTGGCGGGCAAAGTTGCTGGCGCCAAGTCAGCTGGAGTCTGATCACTGGCCAAGCTGAAGCAGCTGGAGCTGGGGGGGTGGGATGAGCCAGTCAAGCCAAAGGATCTGGGGGTAGGGCATGGTTGAGCTGATGTAGCTGGGGCCAGGGCACAATCGAGCCAAAGGAGCTGGGGCCATGGTGTGGTGGAGCTGGGGCAGCTGATGCTGTGGTTTGGTCCAGCCAGAGCAGCTGGGTCTGTGGTGGGGCCTGAGCTTCCACTGCCTCTGGTGCAGGGGCACAGGCTCGCCCTGCTGCTGGTGGGGCCTGGGCACCTGGGGGCCGCTGCCTCTGGGGGTGGGGCTGAGCTGAATTCCTGCTGTGCTGAAGCGCTGGTCAGGCAGGCTGGGTGGGGGAGGGGTGCTTGCTTTCGCCTCCCTGATCTCAGAGGTTTCTCACCTCGCTGTCGCTCTCTGCTCTCCTGAGGGGTTAGCTTGTTGAAAGTACCCTCACAGCAGTTCTGCTCCCTCTGTAGGGGGATCCCCACGGGCTGTGCAGGGTCTTAGAGAGCATTGGTTTTCACGCCACGTACCACCCTCCTCACCACCCCCCCCGCCCCCCGCCCCACCGCTGAGAGCCGTGTAGTCTCAGTCTCTGGGTCGCAGTACTTGGAGAAGGAAGGGAGCTCCTCTTATCTCCTTCCACTTACTCTGGGGATTCCAGCACCTCAGTCCTCGGGTGTACGGCTTCCTGGTGCCTCAGACATCCCTGGTGTTGTGTGAATATCTTCTGTTGGAATATGAATGTCCTTTTTTTTGTGTCTTAGAGGAGGAGAGTTCAATGGGGGAAGCTCGCTCCGCCATGATGCTGATGTCACTCCTTCCAGTGATACTTTTCTTGATAATTTTCTTATTTCTATTTGTGGCCTTTTCTCTTCCAGTTAAAGAAGTCCCTTTAACATTTCTTGTAAGGCCAGTTTAGTGGTGATGAACTCCTTTAGATTTTGCTTGTATGGAAAACTCTTTGTCTCTCCTTCCATTCAGAATGATAAACTTGCTGGGTCTTGGTTTTTTCCTTTCTTTTCCTTTCCTTTCAAAGTATATTATATACTTTGAATATATTGTGCCACTCTCTTCTAGCCTGTGAGGTTTCTGCTGAAAAGTCAGCTGATAGGCTTATGGGGCTTCCCTTGTGCATAACTTGTTGCTTTTCTCTTGCAGCTTTTAAGAATCTCTCTTTAATTCTTGACGTTTTAATTATAATGTGTCTTGATGTGGGCCACTTGGCATTCATCTTGTTTGGTACTCTCTGTACTTTCTGTACCTGGATATCTGTTTCCTTCCTCAGATTAGGGAAGTTTTCAGCTGTTATTTCTTCAAAGAAGTTCTCTGCCCCTTTGTCTCTCTCTTCTCCTTCTGGGACACCTATAATGCCAATGTCAGTACATTTGATATTGTCCCAGAGGTCCCTTAAACTGTTTTTTCTGTTCATCTTTGGTGATTTCCTCTGTTCTGTCATCCAGACTGCTGATCCGTTATTCTACATCATCTCCTCTGCTGTTGATCCCCTCTAGTGAATTTTTCATTTCAATTATTGTATTCTTCAGCTCTAACTGGGTCTTCTTTCTATTTTCCAGTTCTTTATTGAAGTTCTCACTGTGTTCATCTATCCTTCTCCCAAATTCAGTGAGGATCCTTATGACCATGAGTTTGTACTCTTTATCAGGTAGGTTGTTTATCTCTGTTTTGTTGAGTTCTATTTCTGTGGATTTGTCCTGTTCTTTTATTTGGAACATATTCTTTTGTCTCATTTTGCTTACTTCTCTGTGCTTATATCTATGTATTAAGTAGATCAGCTATGTCTCCATTCTTTGAAATGTGGTCTTATGTAGGATATGTCTTTCGGGGCCCATCAGCATGCTCCCATCTCAGCTCCGTGGGTGTCCTCTACAGAGACTGTGTGTGCTCTTCTCTTGTGGCAGGGCCTCTATAGCTGCAGGTGTGCCGTTAGGCTGGGTTGGTCCCTGGTACAGTGGGTTTTTGGCCTGGTTGCGTGGCTGTTGCTAGCTGGCTGTTAGGTGGGGCAGACCTCTCGTGCAAGCAGGCTATGTGGCCAGACAGTGCACAATTTCCTCAGGTGGGCTATTGGGCAGGACAGGCCCCTGCGCTAGCAAGCTAGATGGAGGATTCCTGCCAGTGTCTCTGTCAGCATGGCTGAACTAGGTAAAAAAAAATGGCTTCCACCAGTGTTTTAGTCCCTGGGGTATGGGGGAGCCCAAGCCCACTTACTGCGTCTCCAGGATATGCTCCAAGATTGGTAAGTGAGTCTCTTTTACCAATGGATTATGCACTTTTCTATCTGGTGTTTTTGTGCTGGTTTCTGGATCGAGTGAGTCTGTGTATGTGCCTTTAAGAGCAAGTTTTCCATTCTGTGAAGTTCTGTAGTTTTCTAGGCATATTCTCTATTGATTTTCAAGCCAGGTTTTGGGACTTCATCTCTCCTGTGCTGGGTCTCAGGGCTGGTGTGCCTAATGTGGAGCTCAATTCCCCTGCTCCTCCTGGAAAAGCTATGTACCTTTGAGGTTGCTCCTGACCATGGAGCACTGCGGCTAGGGTGTGCCTTTTTCCTCAGTAGCACTGTATCTCTGCCTCTTCCACCTCTCTCTTCTTGACCCTTGTTGTGGAGGTTCTTTTCATCCAGTTTCCAGATCTCTCTCAGAGGGAATTGTTGCACAGGTAGTTGTAGGTTTGTTGTGTCTGTGGGAGGAGGCGACCTCAGGATCCTCCTATGCTGCCATCTTCCAAAGAGACCTGGATTTTTTTCTTCTCATCATCTATTTCTTTTTTTTTTTTTTTTTTAAAGATTTTGTTTATTTATTTTCCCCCCAAAGCCCCAGTAGATAGTTGTATGTCATAGCTGCACATCCTTCTAGCTGCTGTATGTGGGACCTGGCCCCAGCATGGCTGGAGAAGCGGCGCGTCGGCGCGCACCCGGGATCCGAACCCGGGCCGCCAGCAGCGGAGCGCACGCACTTAACCGCCAAGCCACGGGGCCGGCCCCATCATCTATTTCTATTTCCTATGTCAAATTTATTCCATCTCTTTGTACTCTGGAGCTCACCTGACAAGATTTTAAAGCATGTACCATTTACTGGCACATACAAAATTTTTCCATAACAACAGAAACCACTAGTGTTATTAAATATCCCCAAATAAATGAGTGTCTAAACAACGCAATGCCTCCTCTTGTTGTCATGAAAAATAAGGAAAGATCCTTTGTTGAGAGTCCCAAGCTAACAAAACTTTCAACTTGAAGGCCTTGCTTTCGAATTTTTATTTTTCTTGTGCCCAGTCCTGGGGGCCTCACTTCACAGGGTGGGTGGTTCTCAATTCACTGGGTTCTCTGTGAGGTCAGGTTAACCAAATCTGAGGTCTCTCCTGTGAATCAACCCCCTGCTCACAAAATCCAGAACATATGAAGCCAACAAGCAGTAGCATCCCCAGCAAGAGTGATGAGTTTGCCCTGCTATTGGCTGCCGTCTTATCTGAGAGAACAGAGAAGACAGAAATAGAACAGAGGAAAAATCCTGGATTCAGCTTTCCAGCATGCCAGTTAGTTATGAAAATTGTCCCGATTCCAATTAAATGGTAACCCTTTGGGCAAATCTCCTAATCAGGGGTTAATTGTTAGCAAAAATAAATGGCAAGTTCTGGTGCCATGCGTGTTGGCAAGAGGTTCGAGAAAAGAATATTCTCATAAATGGTGAGACTGTGACTTAGCACCACTTCTTGGCAGGGCACTGAGGAATGAGTTAGCAAAATTAGAAATGCACAAGTACTTTGAGCAGGCAAATCCATTACCAGGAATCTATCCTACAGAAATATACAAATGAGCAGGGATATATGTGTAAGGGTGTCCCCTCCAGCATTATTTGTAACCATAAACATTGAAACCAATTTCATGTCCATCAGCTAGGAAATATTTCAATACATGATAGTCTGTCCACACCATAAAGGAGTATGTAGTAATTGAAAAGAACAAGGGAGATAATGAAAATGCTATGTGATGGACTGACAAGAGCTCGTGTGTATTGAATATTTACTATGGGCACTGGGCACTGGCTCTGGGCATTGGGCTCTGATAATGTCAAATTTTACCTGACACTTGTGATTCCTGGAAAATTGGGCAGGTTAAGAAATACCACCCCGCTTTTCTCCTGGAAAATGGCTGACTATAAAGCACTACCTACCCTTTCCCATATGATATAGACAAGACTCATGGACACTTTCTCTATTTATTTATGAGAAGGCCAGAAAAAGACCTCCCCCATTCCCATGCTTTGCCTCATACATGATTAGCTGAACTACTTGAATCCACTGACCAATTAGAACAAAATGGTTGTTAATCTAACTCTTGTGGTTAAGTTTCTTTCCTTCCTCCTGGCTCTGGAACATTGACCCGACCCTGCTTGACCTGAGAGTGTGCTGGCCTCAGGATAACACATTCCCTGATCTACTGTCCAATCAACCATCCTTTTGTCTCACTTTCTTCTTGTTTGCTTATATTTGAGTCGATACCGTATTCATTTTTACATAATTATAAAACTAAATGAAATTTTTAAACATTTCTCCTCTAGAAATTGAAAACACAATGTAACAAATAAACCTAACTCTGTGTCCCTTTTGTTGAATAACCCTACGTAAGAACTATTCCAGAGACTTTAAAATACGATAATTTATCTATATACCAAGACAATAACAAATTAAAAAACCAATTTCCTCAATCGTGTTGTTAGTGGTATTGTTGCTATTATCTTTATTATTTTGTTCATATAATGTGCGGAAAAGCAAATGAGACATCGTGGGACATTCTAATTCTATTACTCCTCATGTTTGTAAAGACAAAAATGCTTGCTGTTAGAGAAAGGAGATTCAGATGAAACATAGATGTTCAACGCAAACCCTATACTTCTGAATTTGAATTGGCAGTGTTTGTGAATATATGTGTATACATGAATATGTATGACTATGGAAAAGCATTTCCTAGCTCTGTCCATGGGAAATAAAGCCATAGCAATGAGTACCCCTAGGTGACACATTTTGATCTGGGAATATAATTTTGCACAAAAATAAACCAGAGATTGTTAGAGAAATGGCTGAGTCCAGGTCAGGGGCAGTAAATATTCAAGATGAGACAGAAACACTTTGTCATACTGATATCAGGAAAGGTCTCAGAGATTGTTAGCATCCTATCGAAAGGATCAAGAAGCCAATGTGAACTCACCTTCAATGCTGAAAGGGAGGATAATTGGAGCATCAGTAAGGACCATATTGCAATGGATTGAAATACTACAATGTTTTGGAATCCTTGAGTTCATATTCACACAGGAAACAAAGAGAAAAAGAAAAAGAGACTAATTGGTGACCACAGAGGATGCTAGGGGACCAGCTCATTGAGCTGCAGTTTTCTTTACAGACTATACCACTCAGTAACTCAATAGTATTTAGGGGAAGTTTCTCTTCATACGAATGTTCCAGGTAATAATACATGATGATAGAATATTACCATTTTGCTCCACATAATCAATTAGTGGATCTAAACCTTGAACATAAAGCTGTTGTTAACATCATTAGAAGAGAAACAGGACATGATGTGCCTCCCGAGGGAAGAGCACACACCACTTTTGAGGAAGTCTTGCCAACACATCAAACATGAATCTGATCAGTCTCTACATCTACCAGGTCCAATACAGTAGCCACTAAAAACATGTGGCTATGGAATATTTGGAATGTGGCTAGTGGTACGGAGGAAGTGGATTTTAATTTTATTTAATTTATAACTCATTTAAATGTAAACTTAAAAACTGAAGAAATGTAAAATATTTGTCTGTTAAACACAACCGTATAACTTTGGTAGAATTGTATTTCCCTTAACAGTAGCAATGCATAAGATTAGTATTTTGTATTGTTGTGTGCTTATACATTTTAGTTTCCAATGTGGTTACTAAATTTTTTAAGTTGCATATGTGGCTTGCATTTTCTTTCCATTAGCCGGCACTGCTCTAGATTCTACCACCCGCTGAGAGCAAGTATGGAGGACAGAGGAAGGTGTTACAGTATACCTGGCTACAAAATCAGCCAAATCAGGCTGTGGGAATGCTGCAGAACAGACAAATCAGTTTCATCACAAATAATTGACAAAAGAGAAGAGAACAAGAGTGAGAGAAAGAGAGCTGGAGAGAGAGAGAGAAAGAAACTGAGGAAGAACCTCTATATCAAGAGACTTAAAGATATATCTGACTGATCATAGTTTGTGGTTTTTATTTGGATCCCAATTCAAAGAAACCAAATAGAAAACAACAATGGGAAATTTGAACACTGTCTATTTCATAATATTAAAGCTTTTAACTTAATAAATAATTGTTCTGTTATTATGATAATACTTTCAAGAAGTGTTATCATTTCTGGAAACATATGGTTATAATTACAGAAGAAATGTGATGTCTGGGATTTGCTTTAATAATATAGGAAAAATTAAATACATGGGATTGTGTTAAAACAAGTTCAGCCTTAAGCTGACAATTGTTGAAGCTGCTCTATGAAGATGAGGATGTTCTGTTATATAATTCTGTTTTTGTGTACTATTGAAATTCTGCATTGAAAAAGAATGATAGAGCATATAGGTCCACCTAGGAAAATGGCAGCTGAATTATTCAACATATATTTCAAAGGGCTAGGAATTAACCTAGAGTGTTGTAAAAGCAAAAACCCAGTTCTTTCCTGCTGTATTTTTCTTTCCTGTGTGTCTCCTTGATTCCTCATAGAAAATACTTCACTTCTGACATTTCTGGTCACCAAATATGTGGGGTTTTGCCCCACACCAGCAGTTCTCCACGACACTAGCTATGTGTCCTACAATTTAACTCAATTCTGAAACTATCTACCTGGAGGTAGTGTCAGATCCCACAGGTTAAGGGCTCATTCCCACAAGAATGTTCCCGTCCGCTTCAGATGCCATTTGCAAATACTAGGTCCCAGGTTACCCAAACCTTCTCTCCAACTTGGCTACCAATCGGAAGTTTCGAAATGCTCCCTCCATAGGTTCAATTAATCAGTGAATGGCCCAATGAAGACATACATAGGGTGAGGTCTGGAAGGGTCCCTAGTGCAGGAGCTTCTGTCTTTGTGGAGTTGAGGTGCGTCACCTTCCCAGTGTGGATGTGTACATCAACGTGGAAGCTCTTTGAACCCCCTACTACTGGGATTTTATAGAAGCTTCTTCATGTAGCCATCATCAATTATTAAGTCCATTTCCAGCCCCTCTGCCCTCTCTGGAGGGTAGGGCGTGGGGCTAAAAATCCAAGCTTCTAATCATGGCTTGGTCTATCTGGTGACCAGCCCCCATCGGGGGGAACCATTAGGGCCCCAACCAGAGTCACCTCAATAGAGCAAAAGCTGCTCCTATTGCTCTTATCACTTAAGAATTCACAAGGGTCTTATGAGCCCTGAGTCAAAGAACAACTATTAGAACAAGAGATGGATGCTCCTACTGTTCTTATCACTTAGGAAACTACAAGGGTATCAGGAGCTCTGCACCAGGAATCAGGGGCTGATCATATTATCTATTATCTCACAAGAGTCAAAGCAAGACTCGTAACCCTGTCCCCAAAACACCAGGAGCCAGAGAACACTCTGGACTCCCATTGGTTTCTGTTGAGCCAGGTCTGGGAGCCACACAGCAGTAGAGGGATCAGGAAAGACCATGCACGTAGAGGAGAGGACAGCAGGGAGGGCCCGCTCAGGAGGGAACACAGCAAAATTCTCCACAATAGAAAATACGATAAACTCAGAGCAGGCCTGAGAGGTTGGCGACCGCAGCTCTGGCTGCTGGGGAACTGAAAGGAAGGGGTTCCAGAGTGAAGAGGACCAGAGATGACAATCTTGGGGTGGCAAAATTGCAGGGGACAGGGGGAGAGTTGGATGAAGGTAGTGTCTTTGGAGGCTTGTGGTGAAGAAAAGAATGAAGCAACTGGTAGAAGTTAAAGATCCTGTTGGAAGAAAATAGAATCCCTGTGCCTATCCCCAAACCTTACATCTATTAGAGGAATTGCACCAACGAGAGAGATACAGACCTAAGAAACCGACTGAGCCTCTCAAAGCACTCATCCATTCCTACATAGAACTTGTGTTTCTTATTCAGGTAAACCTGGGCGTGTTAATGTGAAAATCACATAGCAGACGTGTCTTCCAAGATGACAGAAGAAAAAGGCAGAAACAGAGTCAAAGATTTCAGCTCATGAAACGGTATCCCCTCAAAATCAATCAGGAAACATAGGAAAACTGTAAAATGGCATTCTTCTCCAAATTAAATGTTCCTAACAAAGCATTTGTAGACACGCAAAAAAACAAAACTTCACATAAGAAATATGCAACTCAAAAGAGAAGTGGACAAGAAACAGGAAATGAGAAGTTAGAATTGGCAGAACCTAGGGAAAAATTGAAGAAAAAGAAAATTCTCTGAAAAAGAGGGTAAATGACAAGGGCATTCATAAGGGAAACATATTTGTCTAAAATTATAAGAGACACTGATACAGAAATGAAGGCATCAAACAGAACAAATGAATAAAAGATAATTGGAAAGGATCAGGGAGGAAGAGAAGTGGAATGGTCAACTCTAAGACCTATCCTCCTATAACTAATAGATTTTAAAGGAAAAGAAACACAAATTCCTTGGAAGCTCCAGACCTGCCCCCACCCCCACAAAACGTCAATTCACCTACAATGGGGAGAAAATCAATTTACATTCTACGTCTCAACAGAACATACAAGCAAGACAATATTTTTTCAAAACTCAGTAAAAGTCATTGTGGGCAAGTACTTTACATTCAGCCAAGCCATCCATGTATCAAGGCAGCAGAATAAGAGTATTAAATTTGCAACACTCAGGGAGTCCTGATTCCATCATGAGGAGTCATTTAAGGATGAACTCCACCCAATAAGAGATGACTGAGGAAATTTTATTTACATGAGAATTTTTAGCACATAAATATGAACAGGAGAAACAAGAATATATATGTTAATTTGTATCCATATTCCCCCAAGCCAATCATGAGTATAATGGATTATAGCATTGAGTGTAAAAAATTCACAAGTCCCCAGTGATAGTCAACACAGAAATTTTAACGATATGGTAGGGGGAGGGAATGTTCCTTTCCACAGCACCATTCCAGCAACTACAAGTATATAGGAATGATAAAATTAGAAAATTCCCAATGTTCAGACATGAATATGATAATTAATACACAACAGGGATCATGAATGGATGGTAAAAGAAAATCATTACAGGATATTCATACACTCTCAAAGTCCAATCACCAAATTACTAAGTATAGAAAGAAAAAAATGTGTTTTTACATGCACCGATCTTGAAGGCATCTCCATAACAAAGTGACCAGTGCTCTTCTCACAGTAATGGTGTTGGGTAAATTGGACAGTCTAGGTCTCCAGGTGGGCTGCTCTAGGAAGTACACAGCATTAACTGTATAGTATTCTTGGCAAAAGGACAAGCCTGAATTTAATCATGAGGAAATGATCAGACAACTTCAAAATGTAGACCGTTGAGCCAGAAGACTGACCTGTCCCTCTGCAAACAAGGCAACGTCACCACCACCACAGACAACCACAAAAAGGTAGGAGATGTTTTTGGTTCAAAAGGACTAAAGAAATATAGTAACATAATCGTTTTAGTCCTTTGGAACCCAAACTATCTCTTCTGCTTTTTGTTGTCTTATTTGTGATGACACTGACCGTTCGAAGAAAGAGAGGCCAGTTGTCTTGTTCAATGGTCTAAATTCTGCAGTTGTCTGATAAAGACGTCATGATTAAATTCACGCTAAACGTTCTCAACAAGAACACTGCAGAGTTAGTGCTGTCTACTCCTGGCACAGTCCTGCTGGTGACAAAGAATGTCTGGTTTGACATGTTGTCTTTATCTAGTTGCTCCTGATTGTGGTGATATATAGGATGGGAACTGAGAGGAGCAAGGGTTAAGGTCTCTCAAGATTGTGTGGATCTAGGCATTGGTCTCCTTAGTGATTTATCACAGTTGGAGGCAGAAGGGCTGGGATTTCTCCCATCAAACTAGGCTTTTGGAGTAAAAGTTGTGGAGAGTGGTTTGTGGTGTGATGTTGATTCTCTGCAAAGGATCCTCCAGTGTTCTGTTTGGGCTTTACCTTGATTTGCTGTTTTAGATTTTTTCATCAAGTGGAAAAGCTACTTTTTATGAGGTGGTTTCTTTCAAATCAGCAACATCTTCTCTTAGTTCAAGAAGTACTTGGTGTTTAAGAGAGAGAGAAAAAAAAATCCAATGTGAGAGTTTCTCAGGTCCTGCTGATAGCTGAGCCTGGAGGGATGGCTCTGTGGTGACAGGCCCGGAGCAAGCTGAGCTCCTATTGAGAGGAGGAGCTGAAGCAGGGAGCCTCAGGCTGGCTGAAGGGGAAAGTGAGATCCACAAGTTAGAAGAAAACCTCCCTAAACTTCCATCCAGTCTGTGGTGCAGGATCTAGGGACCTCTGTCTTCTACCCACCAGGAGCCTCGTGATAGCCCAGCTCAAAGTTGCAACAGAGACATAGCCAGATCCCCACCACCATTTCCTCAGCAGCCATTTCACTCCTGAATCCCCTTCATCTGGAGCAAAGTGATGGCTTTCTCACACCTCCCTGGGAGGGATGTCCTTAGCATCCATTTACACATTCTGAAACACACTGCTCTCCGAAGGAGAGGACCCTTGGCAGAGAAACACACCCTCTTTAACACTATGTCCCAGTTCTCTGAGGAGGTGGGGTAGGCTATGGGAAGAGTCCTAGAATGTGAGAGCTACAGGGACCTCAGAATATATCCAATCCAGTTCCCCCTTTTACAGATGAGGAGTTGTGGTGCCAAGGGGCTAAGGACTAACTCACAGGATTTAGTTATTGACAACCCTGGAACTAGAACCCAGGCCACTTGTGTACATTTGGGGGAAGGAAGAGGAGAGGCTCCCATCTGGAGGTGTCATCAGGCAGTAGAGGCTGTTGGGTCACCCTGGCTGGAGAGGAATAATGCTTTATAGAGAAATCCTGCTCCAAAGGGGCTGAAGAAAGACCCACAAAAGAAGAAACTCAAAATGGAATTAGCAAAAAGAGAGCAGGGAGTGTAACCATGACCCCACTTATTTTCATCCCATGGACACCAACATTCTCTGAAGGCGATTTCAGGCCAGGACACACCTCAGGGCATTTCCAGGAATAGTTTCAATAAGTGACCCCCAAACTCTGAAGTGAAAGTGGGAAACCATTAGTTTTAGTCACACCAGATTCTCGTCACTTTTTCCCCAAATATCCCCCTAAGGAAATGATCTCTCTTCATATTGTACGCTAGGGTAAAGAAGGGCATGAAAAAGGACAAACATAGGAGAATGAGACCTAAGATCCTTTACTGGGATATTGCAAAGGACAAAATTTGATAAAAAATTTTTCAATCTGCAGTCTGAACCAACTAGTGCACTGTGAAATCTATTTAGTAAATAGTGAACTGCAGTTTTCATTTTAAAGTAGAAGAGAAAGAACTCACTTCCATTACTTTTAATAAGAGGAGGCATTATTTTTTGTACACTGGGTTTCTATATAATATTTGTGTCTTCACTGTATCTTTTCCCATAAAAATTGTGAGAAACTTTGATCCAAATAGAGAGAGCACACGTCTAACCCATCCATCTATCTTTTTTTCTCTTCTGTTTTCTTCAGGCTGTACAAACAGTTCCGTTGAGAGAGGAATGCTAATTCATTCCATGGCTGATATTCAGCTTTTCTATGAAGTAACCACACACATGGGACACCTCTACACTGGTGACTGAGATCCTACTATAGATTCATAGTCCTTCTAATTTTTAGATGCATCTTGGCGGAGCTTTTTAAAAATACTGATACCCAAACCCCACCCCAGAACATTTACATCAGAATTTCCAGGCATCAGGTCAAGGCATTCCTGTCAGTTCAGAGCTCACTCCGTGTTTATTTAATGAGAGCATGATTAGAACTACTCACTAGACCTCCTCTATTTCACACCACTCTTTTTGCTTCTCCTTGTCTCTTCCACCGTGAGCTTCTTTCCCACTGGCCCTAAAGATTGTGGTCTTCCTTCTGACAATCTCAGAGAAATCACTGTCCTTCTCAGTTGGACTTGTCTTGTATTCTTGCGTATCTCCCTGGGTCTTCACAAAGCTGGCTGAAAGTTGTTTTGCTACAGTGCTCTCCTAGATGCTCTGACCTCAGATTCAACTCAGTTCATTTCTCCAGATTCTTCACTGAACATGTAGAAGTGGTAATGGAGTGAAAGGGGGAGAGGTGCCAAAGCACCTCATGCTCTTTGCATTTTGGAAACCTGGCCTCTGCATCTACTTTCGGCCAATGTCCCTTCAGGGTGCCTTCTACTGTCCTCCACATAGGGCCAGCTCCAATGAGTCCCAGAGGTGGGGACACTGAGTCCCTGGAAGCCCCATGCAGATGAGCACAGGCCTGCACATCTGGGGCTAAGGAAAATCCTGACTCCAGGCCAGTCCAGCACTCCCACCTGTGACCCAGGTTCTCATTTAGTTTTTGTAATCTGGGCTCTGTCTCCTCAGTGATATTCACATTGAGTATTCACATTGAGAAATCCAGGGTTAAGGGTTGTCCTAGGTCAGGTTCCCTAAAAGACCCAGGAGGAGGATCCATGTGCAACTGAATCATTAGGACAATGCGCCCAGTAGAAAGAGGCAGCGGTGTTGGGGAAGCTGGGAAGGGAAGGCAGAGAAGCCAAGCAAGTGTGTGATTTCAGGCAAAGTGCCATGTGTTCAGTGGCTTAAATGATCCTCTTGTGATGAGGAGTACCGTGGGGCCAGGCTTCCTCTTGCCTACAAGGAAAGGTGAGAGGGATTATCAGGACAGCAGCAGCAGGAACATAACAGAGTCCAGAGTGCAAACAGGAGATGGAGATGGAAGGGCCCAGCAGGCTGGCAGCCCCTCATGGAAAACAGAGGTAAGACCAGACAGAAGTAGCATCAGCTGTTGAAGTGAACAAATGAGGAAGAGAAAAATGAGTGGGAGACTGAGCTCTAATCTTAGACAGAGAGCAATAAGGAATATGTGCACCTAAGAGACACAGATGTGATTACCTCTGGACCCTAAGCTTGAAGGCAAGGGAATCTGCATGCTAGTCTCCACTTGCCTAGCCGTAGTTTTCTTCTGAGAATCCTCTGCTTCAGGGCACTTAGGGCATTAGTGTGGTCAGTGCTGGTAGCTGAGCCCTCAACAGCATCACCCTCCAACTTGGGAGGGTTCTTCATTCCAATGTATGCTTCCAAACCCAGCTCTGAAAATAAAACCACAGCCACTGTTATTCATGATTTTACTGTGACCTTCCTGTTGTCTGTAACATTTGACTGCCCCTCCACCCACCCACACATATATATTCTATCCCCACTTGGGACAGTGTAGGGGTGGGGAGTGACTAGCAACTGTAGATAATCTAGTAGAGGTCCAAGTCTATTATTGGAAACTTAGGGGCCAGAAGTGCTACAGAACCACACTTTGTGGTTCTTTAGGGAGGAAATGCAGTGCACAATCCTTATACTACACAGCAGTCTGGGGTCTGGGCAGTACTCCCTAATCAAACATGTTTATATTTCTACTGTGAGATGAAAACATCTCATGCGCAAGTGGGCTAACCAAAGACTTCAGATGCCTCATGCCAGTCCAGGTCGGGCTCAGGCAGGGTCGTGGCCCTCAGGGCCTGCTCCACACTGCTGTGGGCTCCCCTCTCTCCTCCCCTCTACACATCCTCATTCTCACCAAGGTTTGTTTAACTGTTTCTTAAAAATATCTTTCATGTTTCTGTCACCATTTAGTCTTGCAAGTCGCATACTATATCTGACTCTTATCATTGATTTATCCAACTCCCTTCTTACTGCTGTCTCTACTTCTGTCCTCTCCGCACTATCAAATGTCCCACCCACCTTATTACCCCAAATCCTATTTCAAAACATGCCTACTCTGCTATGAGAACTTTCTGTCCCCCCTCACTTCACACACTCTCCACTCCTCACCTTCCTTTCCAGGACTTCTGTCCTCTGGCCCCTCTTGCTTCTCCACCATCACTCCCCACAGCCCCGTTATACAGATCCTCCAGAGTCAGGCTGCCCCTCCCTGACCCCAGCCCTGCACCAGGTGCCCTTCTAGCTTCCAGGTCTTTTCCACAAGCTCTTCTCTCATGCTGCTGTGTTCCATATTTCCTTGAGGCACAGTTTATTATTCATTGATCATCATGGTTTGGGACATTTAATAAGATTTTATGATAATTCACATTGGGCTAAAGTGTAACCCCTTAAATTAACAAATCTGGTTGACAAAAGAATTGTCAAAACCCAGTCTCCCCATTCTCAAATGTTATTTTGAATCAAGGTCTTTGAATCAAGTTTTTAATTATCACTGCTTAATTTCATTGTGTTGTTATATCCCTTTTTTCCCAACTACTGGGCTTTATTAAATCTATGCTTTGAATACTCTTTGCATTTGCAGGAGAAAAGGGAAAACATTTTATCAAACTTCTGAAGTGCCATCCCATGTTATTAGTCTGGCAGGTGGGGAAATCCCTCAATAAAAGATCAAGTTATGACTTAGGTTGTATTTGTACTGTTTCTACAGGGTTTTTCCCTGCACAGACATGATGGGGTGGAGCAGACTCTCTGTGGCCCCGCTGGCTGGTCCCATACACACTGTTCACACATCATGGTCTGCAAACCCACGCACAGGATGGTTTCATTATTTTAGACGTTCCACTCATTCATGTCAGCCCATCTGTGTGGGGAAATTTGGCTTACCCTGGCCTATTTTGAATGATGGCCTAGGAAGGCCGGGCCATATCACTCACATCTCACTTCTGAGACGTGTGTCTGAGCATTTCTCATTCTCCTCATGGGAACCTAGTCCTGGCCGTCGGTGTATCTGAGACAAAGCTGTACAGGTTTACAAGGACAACCCTGAGTGACAGCAGGAAACCCCTGGGGGCAGGGGTGGTGGAGACACAGAACCCCAGCCCCTGACTGATTTTCCATGCAGAGAGAGCCTCGTGAAGCTGTGGCTCCACCTGGAAGGGCAGGATGAGCCGAGGCTCTGCTCACACAACAAAGTTCCCTGAGAGGTTAGAGTTGGTGGATCTGTGCGAGGGGCCATAGGAATTCTTTAGACCAGTCATATGACTTTTCTGTTTACGTTTAAAATGGTTCCAAATAATTTAGAACAAAGCAAAGAGGAAAGAGTGAGCACCACACCTGCTGAGTCCATGACACTCTAAGTATAGAAAGCAGTACAGAGCTTGAGCCAGGGAGTCAGGCCGATGAGGGGCCCAAGGCCCGACTGTGCACTGACCAGGTGTCCTTGGCAAGTGAAGTGACCTTGCTGAGCCTCAGCACCCTTGGCGCTAACTGAGAAGCACACCTACTTGGGAGTGCTCTGTGAGGACTGAACGGGGTATAGCATACACAGAGCTCACTCGGTACAGGAATGGCAGACAACAGACGCAAAAGAACTGCGTTTCATTTCTGTTTTGTGAATTGCTGGGATCCTGAGGAAGCCTCTGTTTCTTTGTACCCTGGCGACGAATGGGAAACAGGAAAGAGGATGGTCCCAGCAGGAAAAGGCACTTATTGACCAAAAAAGGTTGAGGGACAAAATTGTTCATGGCCAATTTCAGTATAAAATAGTCATATATACGAAGATACATCATAGAATTTCTTGATCTTCCTACAAGATGATTAGATGAGTAAAGCCTCCTAACAATCCAACTGCTTCTCTCACAAGAGAAGTCCAAAGACTAGCCTGAGTGAGAAGAAGTGAAAATTGGGTTTTAATTTGCACACCCCATGAAACTGCTGCCCCAAGGGGCTCTCACTCACCAGAGACGACTTTTCTGGATTTATGGAGAGAACAACCGCTGTGCCTTGCTCATCAATTAGGACAACACCCCCAACAGGTGCACAGGCTGTTGATAGTTTACATGAGATGACACCAATGCGACTAGACACATGGTTGAAACTATAACCCACACATGGAAGAAATCACTGGTGCTGCACAGAGGGCGAAAACCGGGGCCATTTGTGGAGGATGGGAAACCAGAGCCAGAGCTTTGGCTTCATTGAAACCATGGGCACAGGCAGGATTCGGAGCTCAGGATCTGGTATCTAAATGTTTCAGAGGGGGGGTGGGCACTCAGGTGAAAAACCTTGAGCTCGGAACCAGCATAACAGATGTTGCAAATATGGAGTAGACTGCAAACTTGTGAGGAAAACCAGAGAGTTTGTAAAAAACTACTCAGGAAATACAAGTAACAACACCATTTCATGAGTATGAGAAGTCTTATCTTGGTGACAAGAGGCCTGTGACACAGGCCTGTTGTCCAGGTGAGATAGCGATGGCTGAGATGTTGCCATTATCCATCCATTTCTTCTCTCTAGCCTGACTTGATACCAGCAGCCTACACTTGTAACAGGGACCCGGTGACAGGAAGGTAGCCTGGGATAAGAAGAAAGCTGTCTGAGCCACATGATGCCTTTTTAAAATTAAATCCAAGAGTGCAATTCACACCAAGATGAGTCTACAGGGCCTTTGCATCTTTCAGCCTATATAAGTTCTTGGAGACAAGGAACATAGAGGCCACCTGGGACCCACTAGGAGCTCTATGCCCTTTATAAGGAGAGCACTCACTGTGTACATCCAGAGCTGAGAAGACTTCCTGTTCATCAGTTAATAATGAGGCCCTTCTGTACAGCCTACAGGAGGCTGACAGGTCCTGGCCAATTGAATGAGTCAAATAACATTCATCCAGCAAGTCCTGTGGGACCTCATTCTCTTCTACCACTGTAAGCTCCTTGCGGAGCCTGATGGGGTTGGGAGGACTGATGATTAAACAAGAGGGATTAGTAAACACAGAGTCCTAGGGCTGGTTTGGATGGGAGGGATAAGGGTCTGGTCACAGAAAACAAGTGGGAAGTCCCCGTCAAGGGAGATAAAACAATCCTCCTCTATCTGGGGCCAGAGTGTGGTGCCATGGGAAGAGGAGAGAGAGAAAGAGAGAGAGAGAGTGAGAGAGAGAGAGCAAGAGCAAGAGAAAGAGAAAGAGAGAGAGAGAGAGAAAGAGAGCGAGAGTGAGAGAGAGAGAGAGAGCAGGAGGTGCTCAGAGCTCTGACCAGAAAATGAGCTTCTGAGGAAGAAGACTGAACTCCCCCATACAGAACAGTCAGGGCACACAGTGCACTCAGAAAACCATAAAGGTGGCTTCAATACTTTTGCATAAATTTTGTTGAAATATACATGTAGCAGCCAAGTGGACACAGTTCTCTGGCAACATTGTAGACTTCTAGGAACTCTGTATTTTGAAGGCCTAGTTCTCCAAAAACTGAGACATAATAGGAATTTTTTTTCTAGTCACTTTCTTTGCCATGAAATACCTGCCAACGTGGTAACACGAAACCGGCAGAGGCAGATGTGTGTCATATGCAGTTGTAATAGAAAGGACAGAAATCTTGTTAGTGATTCGTTCACCTGCATCAACTGCAGGTTGCTACATTGGAGAGGGATCAATAAAGGGGCCTGGACATGTACCACAGTGAAAACAGACATCATTGTTGAAGGGACACTTCAACAATGTCTGAGTGCGTGAAATAGGTATATTCAGCCCTTTCTGATTTCCGTAGATATGAGATCACCAGATGTCACCATTGAATGAAGACCCACAATTCTTCAGAGTTACCTGGAACATATGCAGACTTGGTCTTCCTCCTCATCAAGAACAGTATGTTTTTCTACAAATAAATCCAGACAGGGTTAGTCGCATTGAGCACATCCCCCTTTGTAAATTAATAATCCAGGGTCCAACCCCAGCACATGGACACAAATGTCCTCAGTGTGAGAATAGGTTTAGTGAGAAGAATATTTCAGGAGGCCTCAGATATTGTATTCTGATGACTGGCTTGGTTTTCTGTCCTGAGCCATTGGGCAAAATTTACCTTGTCTGGGAGATCAGCATCACAATATTCTCTGTATTGAGTCTGTGCAAACACTTAAACATATCATTCTCTTACAGATTCTGGGAACCAGCCTACCTGCATTCTAAAAGAATTACTGCAATATCCAGCCTTCTCTCATCAGATACCCTGGTTGTTGATGGTTTAGAGGAATTTATACACTGAGGTTGGACAGATGGAATGCATCTACAAACCCTCAAATGAAAATGAATCTTTGCTGTCACACAGAAACCTTGACCATTCATGAGGTGTGGGAAGGCCAAGGCACAGCTTTGCTTCAGGAAAACATGCAAGCGAGGTAATGGTAGAGGTGTTTATGGTTGGTTTTCAGGTGACTGCTTAGGAAGACAAGCCAACCTAAAGGAGATAGAGAATGGGGCTAAGAATAGTGAAGCCTGGATTACATTTTTGACGAATATGTAGACAAGGATGCCAACTGCCTGGCAGGCATAGAATCTTAAGGGACGTGGTTCAGGCGTGAAACTTAGAGCACTGAAGGTGAGAAGAGACATTTCATCCAAATTAGGAGGTCTGACAGACATCTTCTGTGCTCGTGCTGCAGAGGTGAATTGAGGTTGTCATGCCTCCCTTGGGTCCAGTGACCTGCAAGTGGGGCCAAGGTGACATGGGCATGTCCTGGGACTAGGAAGTAAGCAAAGCTTGCTGACTCACCTATTGTCTGTGTTGAAAACTCAATCCCAGAGGCTGAGTCACGTCACTATGTCTCTATAGGGCTTGCACACAGGGATGACAGCTCTCAGCAAAGCCAGAGGTATGGATTACAAATATATGGGGTCTACCTCAGAGTACAGTTGGCATTATCACATTGACAATAGAGTACTCACTAGTTCTATCTAGAGCAGGATAGACTGCCAATTCCTCAAATGAGAATGTCACGGCGCTCCTATAAGGACAGTAGGAGTTGGACAGGCTGGGAAGATCTGAAGAATTCAAGTAATATTCATCCAGTGGGTCCCATGGTAGGTCATCCTCTACCTCCTGTGGCAGCTCCCTGCAGAGCCTGGTGGCATAGGGAGGACTAATGATTAACCCAAGAGGGATCGGATATCATAGAGTCTTATTTGGTTTTGATGAAAGGCATAGGGAGTACTCAAGAAAGCAAAGAGGCTGACCCATTAGAGAGGGAAAAACTCTCCTCTCCTTTTTTGTGGGACACGGTGTGTTTGTCACAAGGGTAGGATATAGAAAGGACACTAGGTGTTCAGTACACTGGCCAAATAACAAGCTGATGAGGAAAGAGACTGAATTATTTCTGTACAGTTCAGTCATGACTCATGACATACAGAGTCACGGAACAGTGGCTTTCACTCTTTCATTTAAATTGCATTGAATTATAGATGTAGTGGCCAAGTGTATACAGCTTTGGGGGCACTCTAGTATCCCAGAAATCTCATGCCAGCAAGGCCTCTCTCTATATATTGTGGCATGATATAATAATATTTTTGTCCACTTACATTACTTGCTATGACATACATGCAACATGCTAACACATCTCACTCTGTAAACCACACAGGAGAGAACACGTGAGTGCAGAAAATCCCTGTGACTTATTAGTTCAACTGACTGTGGGTTACTAAACTTGAGAAGTTAGTCATAAATGGGAACAACACAAGTACCACGGTGAAACAGAAAACATTATGAAAAAGGGTAATTAATGGTTGGCAGAATGGATGATATAGTTATGTTCAGCACTTTCTGCTTTTCCCTGGACCTGAGGTCTGCAGATATGACCATTGAATGAACAGCCCACAATTATTCAGAAGTACCTGGGGGCAATTGGCCCTTGTCCTTTCACCTCCTCATGATCATTTTGGTTTTCTGCAAATAAATTCAGAGAAGGATGGTTACATTAAGCAGACTCTCCTTCACAAATGCCCAATCCAGTGTCCAGTCCTAGCACAGGGACATAAATATATGCAGTGTAATAACAGGCTATTGTGAGAGAACTATTCCAGGAAGTATTAGGTAGGGCCTTGTAAGAAGTGACCGGTTGGCTCTCTTGAGCCATTGGACAAATCTCCCTGACATGATAGGTCATCCTCATAGTACCCTATGTCCTGCGTCTGTGCAAATACTTCAACATATCCTTTTATTCAGAGATCCTAGGGAACTACCTAGCTGCTTCCTAGAAGTTTGCTGTATAGTCATGCTTTGTCTATCTAAAATGCTGTTCATGGTTTAGAGGAATTATACACTGAGATTAGACTGATGAGTGGAATCTATACACTATCCAATCAAAAGAATCTTGAACGCTATAGAGAAAGAGTGGCCATTCATGGGGTAGGGAAGTTCCAGGGCCCTGCCTTGTTCAGGGAGACATAGGAAGTGTGACAGTGGTGCTTATGTTCTGCTACTCAGTTGACTCCTGAGATGAGATAAGATAAGACAAATCAAAGGAGATAGACTCCGGGTCAAGAGAACTGATTCAGGGTAGTGAAATCTCCAAAGATATAGCTAAGGCTGCCAACAGCCTTAGTCAGGCATAGAAACTCAAGGGACATTGCTCAGGAAAAAAATTAGAGCATTGCATGCGAGATAAGAGATTTATTCAAAATTAGGAGGTCTGAAAGTCACCTTCTATGCTGTAGAGTTACATGTGTCTGACAGGACCACCTTGGGTCCAGTGATTGGCCAGTGGGACAAACATGAGAGGTGTGGTCTAGACTAGGATTTGAGCAAATTTCACTGATTCATGGACTGTCTTATTTCAAACTCAATCCTAGAGACTTTCAAACCAGTATTAAATATAGGATCTGCCTATGGGGATTAAATCTCATAGTCTAGACAGGTTGTGGGGAACAAAGACTATGGAGGCTACCTGGGAGATGAGTTGGAATTTCATCACCGCTAGAATGGTAGCGTTCACTGCCTACATCCAGAGCAGAGCCAACTTCCTGCTCATCAAATGTCAGTTTGCCCTCACTGTAAGGCTGGTCACAGTCAGACTCTTCTTGGCAGATTGAAGAGGGCAAAGCACATTCATCCTGTGAGTCCTGCAGGATTTCTTTCTTTTGAAATTTCTGAAGCTCCATGCTGTGCCAGAAGGAAGAGGGTGACAGAAGATTAAACTAAGAGGATCAGACACCATGGCATCCTCACTGGTTTTGATGGCAGGTGAAGAAAGTGGTCACAGAAGCAAAGTGGCATCGCCTTGAAAGGAAAACCTATCCTCCTATATGAGGAGCAAAGTGTGGCTGCCATGGTTTAACAAAGAGAGAAGGAGAGTGGGAGAGAGAGAGAGCAGCAGATGCTCTGTGTACTGGCCACATAACCAACTAATGATGGAGGAGGCTATACTCTCCCTGTGTGCTACAGCCATGACTCCCAGCACACACAGAGGACTCAAACAGTGGCTTCAGCCCTTTTGCATACATTGCGTTGGATTTTATATGCAGTGTCCAAGTAAATATGGCCCTTGAGATGTCGTAGACTCTCAGATACTCTGCTTTCAAGAAACATTTTCTCAATATTTTGAAACATATATTCAAATGTTGGGAACATGCTGATGCCAAACAGGCACAAAGCAGATATGCATCTCCCCCTGGTTTTAACCACACAGGAGAGCACAGCTGATTGCAGGAACCCCTGAGTTTGTGAGTTCACCTGGGTCAACTGACTCTAGGTTACTAACCTTGTGAGGGATTAAGAAACGGAAACCTACAGGACTATCTCAATGAAAATAGACAAGATGGTGAGAAGAGGTATTTTACTGTTGGCTGACTGGCTGAAATAGTTATCTTCAGCACTTTCTATTTTTCCCTGGATGTGAGGTCTCCAGAAGTCAACCTATAAATTCACAGCCCACAAATCTTCACAGCTACCTGGGGGACATTGGCTGTTGTCCATCCTCTTCCTCCTGATCATTTTGATTTTCTGTAAATAAATTCAGAGAAGGAGGTCACACTAAGAAAATCACACTTCACATGTGACCAACTCAGTGAGCACTCAGACCACAAGGACATTAATATTCTCAGTGCAAGACAAAATATTCTGGCAGGGATATTCCAGGACACCTAAGGTTAAGTCTTGTGAGAAGTAGACAGGACTGCTTCCACACCCCGTGGGGAAACTCTGTCCCTGATCTAACAGAACTTTCTCCCAATATCCTGTGTTCTGTGTTTGTGGAAATAGTTGATAATACATTTTGTACAGAGAACCTGGGGAATTAGCCTACCTATTTTCTAGAAGTGTTGCTGCAATATTGGGCTGTCCCATCAGATATTGTGGTTGCAAATTGTGTAGAGGAAGTTATACTTGAAACTAGACTGATGGATGAATTATATGAACCCTCAAATCAAAAAAAGTTGTTGGTGCTACACAGAAACAAAGGCTATTCATGATTTGAGGTTTGCCAGAGCCCAGCCTTGCTTCCTGGAAACATACAAGCGAGGTGATGACAGAGGTGTTGATGTCCTGGTTTTCAGATGACTGCTTAGCTAAGATAAGTCAATACAGAGAAGATAGAGACTGGGGCTGAGAGCACTGATACCAGGGAAACCACTTCTCCTAATATATAGACAAGTCTGCCAATGTCTTTGGACAGGCACAAAATTCCAGGAACATTTTAAAAAAAGAAAAATTAGATCATTGCAGTTTCCAAGAGACATTTGATCCCCTCTAGGAGGTCTGACAGACACCTCCTATAGATGTCCTGCCGTGGTGGGTGTCAGTTTGTCACATCTGACTTGGGTCCAATGGCCTGACATTGAGCCAGGGTGATGGAGGGTATGACCTGGGTCTAGGAAGGGATGAAGCCTCCCTGACCCACCTGATGTCTGTGTTTCATAATCCACCCTTGTCTCTTATTTACACCAACATGTGTCTATAGGGCCTGTCTTCAGAGATGACCTTCCTTAGTCTAGACAGGTTGTGGGGAACAAAGAATCTGGAGGCTACCTGGGAGGTCATTTGGAGTTTCATCCCTTTTAGAATGGGAACATTCACAGGCTACATCCGGAGCTGGGCTGACTTCCTGTTCAGCAAATGACAATTTGCCATCACTGTAAGGCTGGTCACAGTCAGAAACTTCTTGGCAAATGGAAGAAGGCAAAACACGTTGATCCTGTGAGTCCTGTTGGACTTCCTTCTTTTCAACCTCCTGCAGCTCCATGCTGTGCAAGGTGGGACAAAGATGAAAGAAGATTAAACCAGGAGGATCAGACACCGTGGTGCCCTAGCTAGTTTTGATGGGAACCACTTGGAGGGGTTACAGAAGCAAGGGGGAAGTCCCCTTAAAGAGAAGTAACTATCCTCACATCTGAGGAGAAGAGTGTGGCTCCCGTGGGGTGGGAGAGAGACAGAGCAGCAGGTGCTCAGTGCACTGGCCATGTAACCACTGATGATGAATGAGATTTAATCATCTCACTACGGTACAGTCACGACACAAAACACAAATGGAGACCCTACCAAGTGCTAGTACCATGTACCTTAGTCATGTTGAATTTAACATACAGCTCTTGAGGTATTGTAGACTCACAGAGATGTTGTGCCTTCCACGCCTCTTTCTCATACTTGTCACATGACAAGGAATTTTTTTTTGTTTACCTTCTTTTCTTGGTGTTTGATTTTGCTAGTTACTACTTTACTAATTCCTTTGCTAGTTACCTTCCTAACAAGGACCTAAGACAACTGTGTAGGAAGTAGATATGCCTCTCATCCTGGTTTTCAGTTACAGGAGAGAATAGATATTTTCTGTGTGTGCAGGAAATTCTAAGGCCTAAGGCTTAAATGACCTACGGGGTCATACTTACAACCCCATGGAGACAACAGACACCCAAGTTAACAGGGCCATTTCATTGTTGGTGAGAGAATTCAATCCACATGATCAGCAGTTGTGCTTATCCTTGCATCTGGCATCTCTGATGCTCTTGCCTCACTTACTGTTCTTTCGGAGACCCTCTCCATATTTTACCCACCCTTTACTGCTCCTGATGATTCACAGTTACCTGGGGGTGATTGTTTCTTGTGCTTATTCATCCTCCTCATCTTCATGATTTTCTGCAAATAAATTCAGCAATGTCTAGTCAGCTATTTCCCACTTCACTGTGGGAAGCCAACACAGTGGCTTCAATGGCCATAGGCACATAAAGTTCTGTGTATGAGTTAGTACTGTGCTGAAGTTCTAAAGCATTGTCTTTAAAGAACTGCCCTAGCATGGATTTCTGATGCATCAGGCAGTGTGTCTCTAATCTGGCAGATTAACATCATGGCATGCGCTGCCTGAAATTGTGCAAAAATTTAAATTGTCTTTTGTTCCCCATATCACTGGATACTTGTCCAGCGTCCATCTCGACTTCTACAACTGTATCCTCCACACTGCCATAAATCCTGCCATAGGCATGGGCTCTATGGCCCTTCACTCTCACATCGAACCTCCTCCTTGCTATAAGGAGAGGAGAACAACCCTGTCCCATGTGCCTCCAACTGGGGATTTCATAGGCCCTCCAAGTTGGCTTCTGTATGTTATTGAGTGAAATTCTCTCTATGGAAAATTTCTGGTCTAAACAACTTTTCCACCACAGAGTTCTACTAAGTCAAGTACCCTATCCAACCCCACACAGTGAGGGGCTTTTTTTTCCCTGAAGTGTACTGGTAAATATTACAAATTATAGCTACCATCAACAGATTATTGGATCCATTTACAGATGAGGAGGAAAATATCAAGGAATAAAAATCAATTGCTCGCCCACAGCTCTCGGGCTGGAGCCTGGAAACTTCCACATTTAGTCTAGGGTTCTTTGCAGTCTAACAAGCTGCCTCCTGTCATGTCCTCCTTTCTGTGCTCTAACACTGGGTGGATGCTGCCTCCCGCCCCAAAGGCCGTGGTCCATCAGGGAGGAAGCAGACACTTGGAACACTATGACCTCCACCCTGTGCGTTTCTCCTCTCTGTTCCCACCCAGCCAGTCCTTGTCTTGTCATGGCCCCAAGTGTGATGTGGAAACCAGGACAGCTGGTAAAAACACTACGAGGGGAGGTGTGGAGTCTCTTGTGAGCTGGGGACCTTGGAGGGGCTCAGGGCAATCAGGGCCTGTGGCCACCTTACCGGGGCTGAGCTTGCAGACAGTGCTCTCTGCCAGCCTGTGTCCTTCAGCCAGTCGCTCTCGGAAGCCCTGCCCCTGGTAGTTGTCAAGGTCATTGTGGGTGAGGAGGTCCTTGAGGTGCTGACTGAGTAGGACGGAGATGTCTCTCTCTTCCTGTAAATCTCTGCCATAACCGGGTCAGCTGTTGTTCCTGCTCTTGAATTAGGACACTGTATTCCCTAAGGTGGGATAGTAGACAAAATTTAAGAGCGAGAAGGGATGACTGATAGATTCTAAAGATTTTTAAAGATATTTCTCCGAAGATTTCCCCAAAGAGCCCTTGAAGCAGAATTCTGGTACAAGTGTGGTGACCTGCCTGTGGCAAAGAGAAAGAAGGTAAAACAAAGGCTTCCTTTCTATCAGAGAGTGCTCCTGTAAGACCCCTTGACATCCCATTCATTGTTTTCTTCTATAAACAAAACCAAGTGTCTTCCTAAACCTGCTTCAAAAAGATATCCCTTCAATTCCTCACTTCAGCCATGTCCATTTCCATGTGAAAACACACATAGTGCCTCATGTAGTGAATGGACACAAAGCCAGACACAGAAATGTGGACAGGTACAGCTGGTGTTAATTGGAAAGAACATGAGAATGACAGGGTCAAGAAAACAGCATTCTTTTGAATGAAAGGATAACAAGCCATAGTCACTGAGGAGGTGATGGTGATTAAAGGGAAATGAGGTAGTGATTGTACAGCATCGAGAATGTACTAAATGCAACTGAATTGTTCACTTGAATTTGGTGAATTTCATGTTATATGAATTTCAGCTCAATAAGTTTTATTTTCTAAAAAAGTGAATGAGGCTCTGAATAATTAGAGTCCATAAGTTACCAGTTATTGTTCTCTAATTGTTTTATAAATATTTGTGCACATGTGCCTGCCATGAAAATCTCTGCCCTTCTCCTGGCCCAGATTTCCTCCTTGCCTCACTTCAGAGATTCCTACTCTTTCCCACGAGCTGCCCCACACAGAGCCCTCCTTACCTGAGCTTCTGAGCTAAGGTTGACTTCTCTGCCAGATTCCCCTCATTAGAATGCAGCTCCTTCTTCAACACAGATTCAATGATGTCTTCGCACTCTTCACACTCTGAGAAAAGACAGAGAGGCCTGCCTCAGTGGAGAGCTGGCCATGCTGCTGTGGTCACTGCCTTCAAGGGAGGAGGCAGGGTCCATCTCTCTCTCTGTCTCTCTCTCTCGGAGAGAGATGTAACCCCAGCACCAGGCTCTCCGCTGGGATTTCCACATCTTATTCCTCAGCCTCCCAACTACATGGCATTTGGTTACGCCCTGTTTTAGAGCTGAGCAAAAAGAAGCCCCAAGGCACAGGGAATAAATCAACAGGGAATAAATCGACTGGTCAGAATTCACATCCCCTGAGACTGACCCTGAATCACAGGCCACTTTACCAACACTTGCAGCCTCTTGAGTAAAACGCTAAGCAGAGGCAGGAAGTAGCGATTCTGGTGTGCTTGAGAAAGACCCTGGACTACTAACTGTTGGTTCCCCTGAGCTGAGAATTTTAAGCACAGGTATCTCAAAGATAAAAAATTGATGTGAATAGAATTCTGTAAAATATTAGGCATAAGACGCAAGAGCCTTGATGGAAACACACACAGACACTAATCAAGTTTGAGTTCAATTAAAAGTAGTAGAAGGAAAAACTAATAAATAGTGTTTACTCTGTGCCAAGAACCGTTTTAGGAGCTTTCCAGAAATAACTCATGTAATTCATTGCAACAACTCAAAGAAGTAGGGACTATTACAGTATTATTTTAATAGAGGAGGAAACTGAGGCACAGAAAGATCTGCAGCTTGGATTTGACCCCAGGAAGACTGGCCCAGAGTCCATGCTCTGTACCACAGCACCCTGTTACCTCAACACCAAGGTCTTTGGTGATATCTTTCTCCTTTATTCTCCTCAAAATTTGGTTCCTACAGTTACGTTATGATTATAAGGAAAGATATAAATAAAATTTAGTTTGTCCTTTCCCAAAAGCTCATGTCTTCACTTTCTTAAATAGCAGGCTTCAATGTTTACTTTTCTCTGTGTCAGTCATTTTAACTTAACCCCTCCCACAATGGTCTATTGGAAAATGACACCAATTCAGGCTCAGAGTTGGCAAGATTCCTTCTAATCACTCTGTTGTCCATGTGCCCCTGTTCTCATGGTTCCTTTCGTCACTACAGCCCTCTCTTACTGAACAGGCCATTGAGCTTCCAATTGTGAGTCTGACTGTGGGAAGGAACGATCTGCCCCACACACTGGCTTGAGTTTTACCTGGGGCTGGTGGCCTCCACCACTTACCCTCATTCTCACTTTGGCCACGTCTCATAACCCAGACCCTCAAGGTCACCTGGACCTGCTGGCCATCCTGCATCACTGAAGGTTCCCCAGCTCAGAGAGAGACAGAGAGGGTGGTACAGATTCTTTGATTTCCCCAGAAACACTCTCAACCTCACCACAGGGTGTCAAATGGCTTCCTCAGACTCAGGAAGAAGAGCCTGTGCGCAGGAAGCACGCCTTCCCTCTCACCAGGGTCGTCCCTGTCTTGATGGCGTCACTCATGGATATCACAGTTTCAGGGAGGAGCAGACTCATCTTCAAGCTCCTTTAAAGCAGGTACCGCAGATGACATGATTTTATATAGAGAAAACCCTAAAGAATCCACCAGAAAACTTTTAGAAGTAATAAACAAATATGGTAAAGTTGCAGGATACAAAATCAACATACAAAAATCAGTTGCATTTCTATACACTAACAATGAAGTAGCAGAAAGAGAAATTAATACCATCCCATTTACAATTGCAACAAAAAGAATAAAATACCTAGGAATAAACTCAACCAAAGAGGTGAAAGAGCTGTACACTGAAAACTATAAAACATTGCTGAAAGAAATTGAAGAAGACACAAAGAAATGGAAAGATATTCCGTGCTCTTGGATTGGAAGAATTAACATAGTTAAGATGTCCATACTTCCTAAAGCAATCTATAGATTCAATGCAATCCCTATCAAAGTTCCAACAACATTTTTCGCAGAAATAGAACAAAGAATCCTAAAATTTATATGGAACAACAAAAGACCCCGAATAGCTAAAGGAATCCTGAGAAAAAAGAACAAAGCTGGAGGTATCACACTCCCTGATTTCAAAATATACTACAAAGCTATAGTAAAGCAGGTACCACCACCTGCTTCCTCCAGTGTGTACCATCACCCCATTTCCTCAGTGTAACCAGCACAGTGCTTTGCCAGTGGGACCTCGGGGAAGCTTGAACTGACAGAGTTCGTTCGTCCCAGACATTTAGGCCAAGAGTGATGCAGGATCTGACTCAGTATGGAGAGAATCCTGAGAGAACCAGTTAATCCTGTTTCTGAGAGAAACAGGCAGTTCTGTGCCTGTACCAGGCATCAATAACAGGGATTTTAACTCTAATTCCACTCTGTACCTCACTGCAAACCTGGGAAAGTTGCTAAACTCTTTGTGCCTCAGGTTTCTCATGCTCAGCAAGCTGAGGGTAAAATACCCACTTGTACCTTTCCTGAATTGTGGCCAGAATGAAATTTATTTTAACAACGGGAATAGAAGACAAAGTTTGGAGAGTTTTTAGTTTCTTAGAGGAAAGACAGTGATCATTCATTACTTTGGTGACCATGACCCTGTCGGACTTACTGTATTTCTGCAGCTGGTTGGCCAGGATGTAGGCAGTTGCTTGGGATATATAAGGAACTTCTCTCTAAGGTCTCTGAAGTCCTGTTTGCTTTTTGCCAGCTGAGATTGAAGCTCCTGTTTGATTTCCAGGGTGGTCATATCTGCCCTCAGATCAGACAGAGGGCTAAGACATATGGTGATGTGTGGCAGCAGAGGTCGAGCCAGGGACTGGGGAGAAGAAACTCAAACACATAATGGGTTAAAAACAAGTGAAATCAAATAGGTTCAATCATGACTGAGGGGTGATGATACAGGAATTCTTAACTTACTGTTGGGAACTTGATCAACACCTCACAACGCTTGAGAGTCCGCAACCGTCAGAGCAAGGTTCCAAATGCCAGAGCTCAGCGCTGAAGGTATTGCCTGCACCTCAGACTCTGACAGGAGTGAGGAGTGAAGACTCAGCGTGCCAGGTAACGGTCTGGAGTTGCCATAACAGAACTGGAAGGTGGGGGCCGGGGGGTGTGTGTCATGGGATCTTAGGAGGCCCTGCCTTCCACTTGCCTAGGCCATACTGATACCCAAGACTCTTCTGAAAGTCACCACCGATGGAGACCACCCCTCTGCAGCCACTCTCAGGAGTTGTCTACCCTTGTGCTGATACCACTGACCTATCTCTTCCCCAAAAATATCTAAGCATAACTCTCATTGTTCATTCCTGTGTGTTTATAAAAACATCAAGGCAGAAAGATTCCCAACAAATTTTATTTTCTTAAGGGCTGTCATGAAGTCACCCCATCTTCTCCTTAAATTAAAACAGATCTTAAGGCTTTTCCACATGTGAAAAATGTCAACCTTTTAGTCTCTCATGATGTTCTTCTCTGAGTCGTACCGATTTTCTCTATATCCATTAAGAAGTACAGGACAAAAACAGAGTATCATACAAAGTGAACAAATATTTAATTAAAAAAAATGTTTTCTGTCCCGACTCTCTCAGTGTTGCTGCATCCCTGTGTTCTGTCAGCTTCTTTTCCCTTTGAGTGAACATTTGTTTTCAGGTCTCTCAGTTATACACTCAGGAGTGGAATTGTTGGGTCATATGTAACTCTGTGTCTCACTTTTTCAGGAACTGCCAAGCTATTTTCCAAGCAAAGCAACTACACCATTTCACATACCCACTAGTAATGTATAAGAATTCCCATTTCTCCACAACCTCCCCAACACGTTATTGTCTTTTATCTTTTTAAGTCATACTTGCTGGTGTGAAGAGAGATTTCACTGTGGTTTCAAGTTGCATTTTCCTAATGACTAACAATATTGAGCATCTTTTCAGGTGTTCGTTGTTTCATTTGTATATATTCTTTAGAGAAATGTCTACTCAAACTCTTTTTTCCATTTTTAAATTGGGTTTTCTTTTTCTTCCTCAGTTGTAAGAATTCTTTATGTATGCTGGATACTAGACCTTCATCAGATATACAATTTGCAAATATTTCTCCCATTCTGTGGATTGTCTTTCCACTTCCTTGATAGTGTTAATTGAAATATAACAGTTTTTAATTTTGATGAATCCAGTTGGTCTATTTATTCTTGGGTTGCTTGTGCATGTTTAAGAAACCACTGTCTAATCCAAAGTCAGAACCTATGTATTACACCTATGTATTCCTCAAAACACTGCTTTTTGAATGAGAACTTTTCTGGGTTTTAGAGGAGGGGCATTATTTAATTCTGTCTCCTGTCCATTGATGGATATTTCTCTCAATTGGTATTCATCTCCTGTTGCCCCCTCCTGTGGAGCATCTAATGGCCTATTACAGAAATTTGGGAAAGGGTATCTATTAATATTCTGGCTTTGATTCTGGTGAGAGTCCTGGTCATGTAATTGAGCTGGTCTTAACCCCACCCAGTTTCATAAATTGCTCAGGGCCTTTGGAGTTGAGCAACTGACTGTCTTTCTGAAGAACACTTGTCCAGGAGTCCAGGTTGTTCTAAGGCTGGAGTGAACTTCCTCAGTCCACCTCAGACAGAGAAGACTGCAGGAGTTGGACCCAGTCAAGACTTTCATCTCTGGTCTTAGATGGAAACTAGACCTGCTTCAGGGTTTTGGGAAGGTTCTTCAATACGAATTGGTTCCTCTCCAATTCCTTTCACTATATGCATGATTTCTTGCTGAAAATGGTGGAAGGATATTTATTTTAGAACATCTTGTCTGTTCTTTGCTAATTGTTGTCTGTCTGTGATTTTAAAATGGGTAAAGTAGAACTCAAAGTCAGATATATTCTCAGTGACTATTATGGTTCATGTGTACTGTCTGGTGATCATACTTAATCCTATGAACTATCTTATTGCTCAGATAGTATCCTTTTCCTGATGAGGAAAAAAAACTCAGAAAGATTACAAAATTTCACAAGGTCACAAATGTAGTGAAGAGGGGAGTGGGGATTAGAATCCAGTTCTGTTTGGCTTTCACATGCAACCTTGTACCATTCTATCAAACTGAATGACAGTACTTTTGCTGGAATAAGTCTCAGAATTTGTTGTTCTAAGATGATTTTCCGAAGGCCGCAGTGTGTCATTTTAATATTTTTTGAGCTTTTAAATTTCACTTCTTTCCTTAAATTATACTTTTTAGTGTTTGTTCTGTTCTGTTGCTTTGTGTTTCTTCTCAAGGGATTCCTATTGTGTGTTGAACATGTGTTACCTATCTTCTGTCATTTGACACTTCTTTTAGTTTTGTCATCTCTCTCTCTCTTTTTTTATGCCAGCAGTTCTTTATGGAGGTATAACTTCCATAGAGCAAAACTTTAGGGAACAGCTCAATGAATGTGTAATCACCATCCAGATCAAGATATAGAACATTTTCCATCATCCCCAAAAGTTCTGTTGTGCTCCTTGCCAGTCAGTACCCATCCCCCAAATAATGACTGTATTCTGAATTCTCTCACTGTAGATTAATTTTGCTTATTCTTTTGCTTCATAAAAATAGAATCATACTGTATGTTGTCTTTTCTTTTGATTTCTTTTACTCAACATCTGGTTTTGAGATTCAATAACAAGCGGTTGTACTAGACATTTGTTTGTTTACTTGGTTGGGTTTTTTGCCAAGTAATGTTCTATTGCCAAGTAATATTCTATTGTATTTTTGCCAAGTAATATTCTATTGCTCAATAGAGCACAAATTGATTATCTATTTTTCTGATGATGGACAGGTTTATTTTTTGCCTGTTGTGTATAAAGTAACTATAAATATTCTTGAACAATTCTTTTCGTGGAGATATGCACTCCTTTCTCCTGGGTATATATAGCTAGGGTGGAATTGCATGGTGAAAGGGTAGAAACTGTGCAGAGTTTTGCAAAGTAGTTGTTGTCATTTTCCATTTCCGTAGTCCATTTCCATTTGTTCTACATTCCCATACACTTAGTATTTTCAATCGTTTTAATTTTAGCCATTCTGCTAGCTGTGTAGTAATATCCCATTTTGATTTTAATATGTTCATTGGTCATTTGGATATCTTCTTTTGGCAAGGGCCTTTTCAAATCTTTCTGCTGGGTTTTCTTCATTTTCTTTGTGATTTATTGGAGTTCTTTATATATTTTGGATGAGTGCATTGTCAGATATACATATTGCAAATAATTATTCCTGGTCTATAGATGGCCTTCTCAGTTTTTAAACAATCCTTATGGTGAGCAGAAGCTTTTGTTTTTTATGAAGTACAATTTAATTGATTTCTTATTATGCTGAGTGCTATTGTGTCCTGTCTTAGAAATATTCGCCTATGCCAAGTTCATGAAAATATTTCCTATTTTTCTTTACAAGCTTCATAATTTTAACTTTCACATCTCCAATTAATCTCAATGTGTGGTGGGGAGTGGTTGTTAGTATTACCTTTTTAAAAAAAAAACACAATTATTTTTCTCTAGCACCTTGTGCTGAAAAGTCTTTCATTTCCCCAGTGAAGAATATTGCTGTATTAGTATTTTTTAAAGTCAAATAACTGTACAAATAACTGTACAAATGTGGGTATATTTTTGAATCTTTATTCTTTCATTTTGATAGATTTATGTTTACTTATACCAGTACTACAGTTTTTTTAATTATTGTAGCTTTAAAGTGAGTTTTGAAATTGAGTAGAGTAAGCCCTCCATCTGAATGCTTCTTCAAGAGTATCTTGTCTTTTCTAAGTTCATTCATTTTCATATATATTTTAAAATTAGCTTGTCAGTTTCACCAAAAATGCAAATGCAATATTAATCAGAATAATGTTGATTTGACATCCTAACAAAACTGAGTCTTACAATCAATCAACTTGATATACACTATATTTCTCTATTTAATTAGTCTTCTTCAATTTCTCTCAACAATAGTTTTTAGGGGTGTTGCATCTGCTTCCTTATATATATATTCCTCGCATTTAAGGACTTTAGATGTTAATCTCTATTGTGTCTTATTGAATTTCATTTTCTAACTACTAATTGCTAGTATGGACGAATACAATGCATTAGCAAATCAACTTTATTGAGGTATAATTTAGGTCCAGTAGACTGTATCGCTTTAATGACGTGTATAATGACATGCATTTTGACAGATGTATACACTAATGAAACTACTGCTATGATCGAGACGCAGGGCATTTCCATTACCCCCAAATTTTCTTGTGCATCTTTTCAGTCCATCACTTCCTCCACCCTCAGCCCCATGCAACCACTGTCACTATAGATCACTGCATTTTGAACCATTTTATATAAATGGAAACATACATGGATTCTTTTGTGTCTGCCTTCTTTCATACAGCACAATGATTTCAAAATTCATCCACATACTACATGCATCAATAGTTCATGCCTTTTTATTGCTGAGTAGGATTCCAAGTATATGCCATATTTGTTTATACATTTATCTCTTAGTGGACTCTTATGTCGTTTTTGACTATTATGAATAAAGCTATTGTGAACATTCACATATATGGATACGTAATGGTGTCTCATCGTAGCATTCATTTATTTCCCTGATGACTAACGAGTTAAGCTAATTAACCATTCATATATCTTGTTTAGTGAAGTGTCTATTCAAGTCTTTTGATCCATTGTTTTATTGTGTTGATTATCTTATCAGACTCCATGATATATATATTCTAGAGGAAAATCCTTTGTTAGAGATAAATATAATATTATCTCCTACACTGTGCTTTCTCTTGAGGTTTTCCTAATGGTATATGTGTTTGGAGATAAAG